CTTCCTTCCTTCCTTCCTTCCTTCCTTCCTTCCTTCCTTCCTTCCTTCCCCTTCCCTCCCTCCCAGTGGGTAGAATACAGAATTGCAGGCTAAATCTGCCAACTGCCAGCAGTTCAATCCTGACCGGCTCCAGGTTGACTCAGCCTTCCATCCTTCTGCAGTGGGTAAAATGAGGACCCAGATTGTTGGGAGCAATTTGCTAATTCTGTAAAAACTGCTTATAGAGCACTGTAAAAGCACTGTGAAGCAGTATATAAGTTTAAGTGCTCTTGCTAAATGTCTAAAATCCAAAGTGCCCTGAAAACAATTCCCAGTAGAGGATTTGGCTACCTACATCTCATAATTCCCGGTAAGGATGAAACTGATTGTGTAATGCCTACCTCTACGTAATTGAAAATGTCATACAAACACTGAGCAGATCCGATTCTGTTTAGATTTTGAAGATGAGTTATCTTCTTGCAGGAGTAGAACAGGCAGAATTGAGAGGGCAAACATGCCATCATTTTAGAGTCATTGCGTTTCCAACCCCTCCTGAATTCCATTAACCCTTTTCTGGCACCAATTTAAAAATGTTGAACTTTAGTAGACCGGATTCTTTTGCGTAGGTCTGAAGAAATCTTCTAGGATGCAACCTAATCAGTGGCCCAGATTCTTCGTGCCTGACACGGCTCCTATTATCAGAGTACACCATAGTCAAGGGGGGAAAAAATGTCAGGTTCCTTTTAGTTTATGGACAATCAATTAAATATGAACCACAAGTGTACAGCAGCAGCCAAAAAAGCCGATGTGATCCTAAGTTGCATTAACAGAGAGATCAAGTTAAGATCACATGCAGTACTAATACCACTCTATTAAGCCTTTGTAAGACCACACCTGGAATCCTGCACCCAATTTTGGTCACCACACTATAAAAAAAAGATGTTGAGACTCTAGAAAAGGTGCAAAGAAGAGCAACCAGGATGATTAGGGGACTTGAGGCTAAAATGTACAAAGAACAGTTGCAGGAACTGGGCCTGGCTAGTCTAGGGAAGAGAAGGACCAGGGGAGACAGGAGAGCAGTCTTCCAATATTTGAGGGGCTGCCCCAGAGAGGAGGAAGGGGTCAAGCTATTATCCAAAGCACCTTTGAAGGCCAAGGAATAATGGATGGAAACTGCACAAGGAGAGATTCAACCTGGAAATAAGGAGGAATTTTCTGACAGTGAGAACAATCCACCCATGGAACAGAAGTTGCCTTTGGAAGTTGTGGGATTTTCATCCCTGGATGCTTTCAAGAAGAGACTGGACTGCCATTGGTCAGAAATGGTGTACGGTCTCCTGCTTGGGCAGGGGGTTGGACTAGATGACCTACAAGATCCCTTCCAACTCTGTTAATCTGTTATTACCAAAAAGAAGATAAATTACAGAAAACTTCAGAAAAATAATTTTTCAGTTTCAACCCCAACCCCTCAAAAGATTACCTTCTGGGTTATTCTGTGTGCATTTCATGATATTTGTTCTCTGCCCATTGGAATAAATGGCCCTGAATACAGGTAGTCCTTGACTTACAATCACAATGG